GCGGTTTTGTTTAGAAGGCAACTCAATGGGCATGTAACACGTGTGTTTCATTTCACTTGATTTGTTTTTATTGAGGCTTTTTAATCTTAATCTTTCACACTGAGATAAAAGTCCTATAGACAAACAACACCATATATTGAAAATGTAAACACAGCTCGGGGAGAAAAAAAACACCAATCAGAGGGCACCAGCAGCACTTTCCAGCTTCCGTACAAATTAAGGTCAGTGGCCTCTTTTAATTGTTAACCAAATCCGATATGCTCGTCCGTCACAGTAGCTCCTGGAGCCTCTCTCCACTTCCTCTCTGCTGTTCTGCTGAAGAGGGAAAAAGAAGCTTTACCGAGCTAACGAGCTGTCTGCAGGCCGCCGGTTTTACTCTGAAGGAGGAGGTTAAAGAAAAGTGAAAAAAAGCTAATAAGCTACGATAGCTTTCGCCAAAGAAGTTCACCCAAGTTCAACCCGGAGCAAAAAGTTCAAGTGGCTTTACTTAACTCCCGCGGGTGAATCCCCTGATATCAGCGATTCCATTGGAATAAATTGAATTTGTGGCAGAATGTGGACGTTTTAAAATGCTGGCGTGACCGGGCCTTTACTCTGTCGGGCCGAGAGATAACCTGGCTCAGAATCCAGGTGTCCACCAGCTTTAGAGGTGCTGACAGTTGGATTTTGTCATGTTAGGACAGAACCCAGGTTAGCAGGTTGCTAAGCTAAGATAACCAACTTCTGACTGTAGCTTCAAATTTACTGTATCGGACGTGAATATAGTATCAGTCACCCATATAACCCTCAAACCTTCAAATCATTTCACTTCAGCAGTGGAAGCCAGTGACGAGAGAGAGAGAGAGCAGCAGCAGCAACGTGGTCGAGCTGCAGCTGAGGAAAAGAGGACCGGCTCAGACTGACACATGGAATTACAGAAGTCTAGTGGACAATAAATCAAAGTGTGGATAACTTTCTCCACATAATGGGAAAGAGGAAAGACTTGGTTTTGATTTTGGACATCGTCAGCAGTTGGATCCAACTCCTGAATAGATTTTCTCTAATTCCACCTTTGAAATCAAGCACTTTTGCTGCTTCTCTTTGGCTCACAGTATGTGATAGTCAACTAAATATTTGATTGAAGAAAAGAAACGGCTTGGAAGGTGTGTTGGGTATATTACATTATTTTCTGACTTTCTGTAGCTTTGTATCAAACAGACAGAACTGTCTGAAAGCAAATAAGCTTATGTTTAACTTCTTTAAAAAACTGCTCGATAACTGCTGTACAATATTGAATTTTGCTGGTTCTCAGGTGCACATAAAATATTATCAAACTCCACCCAGTGTGTACACAACCCTGCTACAGTAATTAAAAGCAGATGTTTGCAGCTGGAGCAGGTCAGTAATTCCCAACAACAGAAAAGCTCTAAAATCCCACAGAGAGCCCATAGTGTGTTCTGTCTGTTTTTCCTTTTTTCTTTTGTTCGTTTTACCTTCACACTCGTCTGTGTTTTTACTTCAGAGCGAGACAAGTTTCTTCGTCAAAGGACAAAGGTCGTGCTGATTAAAGCGACACGATCATTACAACCTACCGCTCAACATGTGTCCTGCAGTTTGACTGGCATCATGATTGGTACTTTAGAGTCACAATGGCGGCATTGATGAGATATGGACTTCAGAGTAAATTATAGATGAATACATAAGAAAAACTCAGAGAAAAATTAAGTTGAGACACAGACAGGTGATTTTAAAGCTCCTCCAGTGTAAAGGTCTGTGTCCATGTGTAGTGTGATTATAGATCAGCTCTAGCTTCTATATTAATACTGTGAAAGTATCAAAGCCTCAGTCCACAGAGAAATGCACACAGCCTGTATTCAGAAACTGAGCCTTAAAACCAGCCGTCTGGACTTCTGGAACTTTGTGATGTCACAACAATGCAGTCACCAAGCCCCGCCCACCTGGACCCACCATCCAAACCTTGCAGGATTTGGTTTCTCTGAGTGTTTTTACCTGAAATCTGCTTTATTATTATCATTATTATTGGATCACTCAGAAAACAGTCAGCCAATCAGAAGAGAGGCTCAGAGCCTCCTCTCTTCTGATTGGCTCAGTGACACTTCAAATAAAACAGAAGAAGAAGAAGAAAATATGAACCTTTAATAACAAAATAATTAAAATTTATGTTGATTTTTGTCTGTTTTGATAGATGTCAGTGGTATTTTAGGGTCGCTAATAAGAATTAAAATAATCATTTTTTTAGATCAAAAATGATTATTGAATCTGTTGGATGCCAGTGTACAGTGATAATAGCCCTCACTAATTCCCAGAACCCAAGGGGATGTTTCTGTAAATGTCTTGTTTAGTTCAACATTTATGTAACAGAGAAAAACACTCTTGAGAAGCTGAGACCAACCTTGTTTTTTTTTTTTTCTTTTTAGTTTTTTTACTGGAAGTTATCAAAACTTTATATTGAGAAATAAGCTGATTCACTGCTTCTTATTTCATTTTTTGGCTTAAAATCACAAGAGTTTAATAAAGTCTGCTCAAGTACAATGTTAAAATGGGAAAGAGACCAAAGATGATGAAGTTGTCTCTGTCATCAGTTTGATCTCAGTCGCCTTTCTTACTATTTCTGTTGTTGCACTTTTTGTCCCCTCAGAACTCCTATTAAATCCGTCTGATTTATGCATCAAAAGCTTCTAGTATTCGCACAATCTCTCTCTGTCCTCCTCCTCCTCCTCCTCTCTGATCTGTAAAATGAGATATAAAACCTCCTTTTTCTCCAGGAACTCTGCTGCTGCTGCTTTGTCTCTTTTCGAACTGTATTGATTCGGACGCAGCGCACCTGTGGCTGGAAATAACATCAACTTATGAGCAGGAGAATACACACTCCATCATTTATGACATCTTCTTTTGGAGAGGAACACCCCTCCTGGTGTTTCCTCGCACCTTTTATTTTCCGTCTTCGAGGCCTCTCTGCGACGTCGCCTCTTTTGGAGGATTGCAGATGAGGGTGGGATGACAGATTGAATCGAAGCTGAGGTTCTGACACTCTGACGGACCACGTTGCCTTTCAGACAGATCGCGCCTCCTCATCAGACCTCTTCCACCACGTGTCGACTGTAGGAGGCCCGTCGCTGGCAGCTGACGTGCACTGACGGCCGGAGAAGGGGTCGTGCCGCATATTGCGATACGTGGGCTGCGGCTTTAACCTGAAGTCTCTGAGTATGAGCCTCTGCCGAGTTTTCTCAGGTCATGTCATCTGACGAAAGTTACTTTAAAAAGAGTGTAATTTTCTACCGTATATCTACAAATCACAACTGAGATGTTTTTTACCCCCTCTCATGAAGGGACTATTAACATAACAACAGCACTTTTAACAGGAACAGAAGAGGCTGCTCAACCAGACACAACACCTCAGAATTGTCTGCTAAATATAATTATTGCTGCTTTTTCGTGACAAAAAGGAAGATTAAAGGCCCAGAGAAATCAAAAAGGGATTTCAAGGCAGGGGGGAAAACATTGTTGAACCATTGATGGAGTAGACAGTTTGATTTGAGGGGGCTGCAGTGGACCTCAAAGCAAGATTTCAACAATTCAGGAAGATTATTTGTTTTCTGTCTGAGAGTTTAGAGATTAGAGGATTGATGTTTAGATGTAAAGGTTCTGTCAAACATACAAGAACTATCTCCAGAGACAAGAAGAACAAGGAGTCCTGTGACAGATGGTCTGGCCTCCACACGACCCTGATCTCAACATCGTGGAGTCATTCTGGGATGGTGGGTCCAGGTGGGCGGGGCTTAGCAACTGCTTTGTTGTGACATCACAAAGTTCCAGAAGTCCTGACGGCTGGTTTTAAGGCTCAGTTTCTGAATACAGGCTGTGTGCATTTCTCTGTGGACTGAGGCTTTGACACTTTCACAGTATTAATATAGAAGCTAGAGCTGATCTATAATCACACTACACATGGACACAGACCTTTACACTGGAGGAGCTTAAAAGACAGAGGGTTTTTTTTTGGTTTACTGCACTTTGCATGAAGTTAATTGATAAATAAAAAGTGTCCATGTTCATTTTAGTGGCTAAAATGTTTCCACAGTACTGAACATTTGCCGAAACAACCTATTAGTCTTCATCCTTCAGTGTTTTTCTCTCATAAAACTAAAAAAATATGTTTTGAAAACAGTTCCAGTAAAGAATAAATCTGCCAAACTGTAATGTGCTCCTTAGTGGCCTTTGAGGTTGGCAGGCAGAAAAACACCCACTGATATGTTACTTGGTGAGAGTCACGGTTGTAGTGGGTGTTTTATTTTTTTTCACCCCAAAGACCACAAGGAGCGGCACTGAGCCCCTCCCACACCTGAAAACAAACTTGGACAAGCGACAACTGATTCACGACTCATTGTTTCTCTGAATTTTCTACAATGGAGCTGGAGGCTGCAGCACGAACACAAATCACGCATCACAACGGCTGCATTTATTGGAAATACAGGTTTAAAAAAATCCTGGAACTTGATTCTGAAACGAAGAAGTGTACTCTATTGATTACACTTCTTCCATTAATATGATTTCTTTAGTGTAATCGACTGCAAAATTAGTTACAAGTCTAATATCAGTTCTCATTCTGCCAGCCTTTGCAGAAAAATGAAATTTTCAAAATAACTGATGGAGTTATTGATCGTGAAAGAAACCGTACACTGCAGTTTTCAGCCATTTGTCTCTGGTTGTGGAAACCTGACTGTTCGCCCTTCAGAAAGACGAGCTCCAGCCTCTGTGTGGGAAGACACATGAAAGTCATGTGAACCATGGGAATCAGTTCATGCGTCCGTCCTGCTGGAACGTCCTTGAGGAAGATGCTGAATCCCCGTAACTCCTGGGAATGCTGCTGTGAGGGCGACCATGACCTCTGACCTCAGATGTATATCGAGCGGACGCCAGACCGTGATCAGCAGGGTTCAATGGAAGCGGACATGTCAGCTGCTTCGGCCGCCGACTTACCATCTCATTATCATCACGATCGTTAGAAGGTCGTCCACTGAGAGGGACACAAAGAAGTTTAGAAACATTCGTCTCTTGCTGCAAATCAGTTTTCAATCTTGTCTCCAGTTCTTACACTTTGCTGTTCTTGATCAGAGAAACACCTGATTGAGCTGCAAACTGTTGGAAGACGCAGCGACCACCCCTCTTCACCTAATCACACATAATCTTAGAGCACAAACAGCCAGTCAGACACGAGGCTCTACCTTTTACCTTTTTACACCTTTTTTCTGTTGTTCAGTCTTCAAAAAGAAACTCTTATATTTTCACAGTGATATTTTATCCTGCAAAAGCATGTGATTTAATTCTGAGTAAACGTTTCAGCACCTGACCAAGTCCAAGTCCTCTGGCAGATACCGGAGCTTAGAAACACCACAGCTTTTTTAGCAGCTGCGAGTCATACTATTCTTGATTTAGCGAACCTGAGGGATGAACAACATCCTTCCAAAAGGTTTGGATTTAGTAGTAGTAGTATTTATTTGTCCCTGTGGGGAAATTGGTTTGCAGCATTATCACAGGCATTTCAAAAAAGAAAAAACAACATATGATAAAGACAGCTTAGGACATACAACGTGAAACATTTCCACTTCACGCCTTGCACCATTATTAAAAACATAATGGCTAAGATGGTCGCACCTGCTGCCCAGACCAGCTGGACAGTAAACAGTGAACTGGACTTGGTGTTTTGGTGATGGAGAGCTGCTCCAAAATCTCCCACAGGTGTCTCAACAGCTGGGCTGAGAACATGAGGTCAATCGGTGAGCCAATCAGTGAGCCTTCGTTCTCTTTATGGAAGCATCTGTTTTTGCTTTGCTTTGTTTTTGAATTTCTCACCTGTCTGTACAAACTAAAAGGTGAAACGAGTTCTCCGCCCCCTCCGCTGTTGTGTGAATGTCGCAGATTTCGGCTTCAACACGGAGTAGATGGAGAGTGAATCCATCAGGGAGCGCTGTCACTGCGTGGAGTATTAATGTGGGATGAACAGGATGGACGCGCGAAGGAGAGGTTTTATTTCACCCTGCACACTGCCCCTGCTACATCCTCATTCTCCAGATACACTCTGCATCTCTGGAGAATAGTTGTTATCCATCAGCTGGAATAGGAGAGGCTGAGAAAAGGCTGCGTCACTCTGCTCTTCTTCACACCCTCATCCATTTCTTTTATTCCCCCAGAGCCCCGGCCGAAATAACCAAACGCCCTTCGTGATAACGCACCAGTTCTGCTTTTTTATTTTTCATATCGGAACATACACAGCAATTTAACATATAGAGAAAAACCTGGGTTGTATTATTCAGCCCTGACATGTTGTTGTAGTGAGAGAGATGCTGACACAGAGCAGTGAGCGTGACTCCTCTCCTTCACTCTACTGCCCTCTACTGTAAATAATGACTCATATTTTAACAGACTGGCTGGAAATAAACAGAAGCCGCCAGTGAAGTGATGCCAGTTCTTCCCTGAGGCTGATTCATGGCTTTGTCTGCCAGCGGCTGAGGCAGGTATTATAACTTCGTCTGTGGTAAATGCAACGATGGCCGAAGCTCTCGCGAAAATAACCACCACCTGCTCCCGGGGAGAAACCATCGCCCCTTTGAAAGCATTGAAAGCGACGAAAACAGACTGGAACCTTCCTCTCATTAATGCATGAAATGAACAGAAATGTCAGGTTTCCATTTTGAGGTTTGACTGGCGTTCTTTTACTTACATCATCGTATTGTGTCCTCTTCTTCTGCAATGGTTTTAATGGGACAGACTGGAGAATTAGCCCCCTCCCCCCTTGAGTTATCTTGACAAATCAACTCCTAATATATCACATAACAGCAGTGGATCGAAATTTATGCCAATTCTGTAGGAAATCTCGGTCTGTTGGTTCACCTCTTTGGTCCAGACTGAAATATCTCAACATCTACCGGGTGGATTGGCACAAAATTTGGTACAAACATTCACGGTTCCAGAGGACGAGTCCTTAATACTTTGGTGATCCACTGACTTTGTCTTAGGCGCCATCATCAGGTTATAATTTTTTAATTTATCTAGTACTTTGGTGTAATACCTGCAAAAATGCTATCTTACTTACATCGTACTTTGTGCTAATTAGCTAATATTAGCATTAGATGTGTGCCAGTTTAATGGTTTTACTATAAACCAGATTTTATTTATGTGATATGATTAACTCACATTAACTTAAGATAAACAGTATGAACAGGAGGAGAATGTCTAGCCATCAAAACCTGTTTATTTGCACCCAGGGAACCTATCCTTAAACTATTGTTAATGTATTCGTGACATTACTGTATCAGCGATGAGGAAATAAGAAAACAGTCAGGGACCTTGAACCCACAGGAGTCATGTGACCCCTTCATTGACTGAACTCCAGACAGCCCTACCTCTTATTCCAAGTGGATAATTGTGTCTGACTTGATTTGAATTAGTGATTAGTAATTAGTAATGCATCAGCCAGTAAACTAAGTCCTGTGGTGATTAGTGTGTCTTAGTGAATATTCCCTCCAGCCTCAGTGGTGCTGACCTGCTGCTGACCTCTGACCTCCCTGTGGAGGGGGAAGGTAGTTAAAAAGGCAAATTTGCCCACAGGGATCAGCTGCACCATCAAGACTTCACGTCACGTACACAGGGACGAGTTGAATGACACGGAGACATTAAGACTCAACTGTTAGCTAATCGCAGTTAGTACTTGTTTCATCAGAGTTGGGTGTGAACCACTGGACAATGAATCAGTCGTGATGAAACTAAAAAAAACAAAGAAATTTCACAATATGTGAAGTTTTTTTTTAGTTAGTTTTGATTTCAAATCATTTGATTTTTAGTTTTTAATAAATTTGCAAACATTTCTAACACGTTTATTCAAATGTAAAACCATTTAAAACGTGATTTCACTTTGTCATTATATGTTATTGAGTGTAGACACATTGGCAATAATGGCAGTTTCAACACAAAGTGTCAAAAAAATACTTTTACTGTAGTAAAATTTTCTGCTTTGGATTTTATCAAACCTTGATGTTGATATCCATTAACTATGAGTGGATTGTATCAGGTTCTTACAGCCCACCACCACCACCACCCACCCCTCTGTATTCTACCTCCAACCTAAACAAAGGCATTGATTTCGCTGGCTAACACACTAGCTAATGCATTGTATCCATCGTACCAGGAATCTTGAAACCTTCACTATAGAAACTAGAGATAATGGCGTCGGCCAAACTCCAACCAGGGATCTACCTGGTCGACTTAATGCTTAAGCTATAGAGAGGCACCTCCAAATATGTTGTTATGCTCAAATCCCCTTTTGTAAAGGATCTGCACTGAGCCATTGACCACATCTCAAAATACATATCGACTGAGACAAACCAAATGCTCGTCGTCTCGGGTCAGGAGAAAATACTTTGCGTGTACCTTAAGAACGATTTCACCGGATTACACTCGGCTTTGACATTCAGTTATTCATAACACACACGAGCTGGACACCCTGCTGGGTTCGGTGTGAGACTTTCTGCTCATCAAGCCTCATGTGTTGATTCATTTCTTGCAGCTTGCTGCCCTCTAGTGAGGCACCACCCTCTTCAAAACTGCCTCTCGTGATTCACTTTTTAATAAGACGGAGCAGGAAAGGAAATTACCAGATGCCAGTAGCCACATGGTGCTAAATCTTCCCTGAGGCTGATTAATCTGTCAGGTCTGCAGACAGTGTGGTAGGTACTGTACTGAGATTAGAAACTTCAAGAACCTAACATATTTTTTGACTGCTTGTAACAGGCCGAAGAGCTTCTGTTTTATCTTTGGTTTTTAGCTTTGATGCAGGAAGTTTTAAACTAATGGTAAAACATTAATCTGAAAGGTTTAATTCTGAAGACAACAGCTATTTATACATTTAGGGTAGGGTTCATAACAAAACATGAAAACCTACCCGATCCCAACATGTATAAATATAAAAACTCAGAGAGAAAACACTGACAGTAGCGTTTTATCTGGATGCAAATGCTTGTTTGTACATTAGCAGTGACACGTTATTGTTGACTTTCAGCTTGTTTTGGAGACTATATCTCCACTGATGTTCAAGCCAAGTTCAATGTAGAGTTAGTGACTATAATTCTGCTCCATGGGAGTAAAGATTAATAACAATAAAGAATAATTAAGAGGAGCTATTTGTTTTGCTGTTGCTACACAACCAACATTAGCATAAACAGCTGTTTATTTTTCAATCTAGTAGAAACGTTGTGAGTTTAGCATCAAACTTTATTCCTTTACTCACCATCAGCTGGTCTCCAGAGATCGAACCCTCTGCTTTTGCTGCTACTTCTGTCACTTTGTTTCTTCTACCGAAGTTAGCATGCTAACCAGCTAGCTTCTGTCCAGCCGGACAGTATTATCACTTTCTGATACCGAGTCGCTGTAGCGTCCTGAAGAAGTAGATGCTCAGAGGATGTGTTATAACCTCTTGTATTGTAAATGCAACAATGGCTGAAGCTCTTGGCTACTGGTAAGTAAACAGCTATTAATGCTAATGCTAGCAATGTAGCAGTAGCAAAACTTACCAATAGCCCTTTTCAAAGGATTATGAGCATATTTCATATTGAAAGGTTTAATGATTTCCTGTAGAGTCCAAGTGATTAGTGACTTAATCGATTAGTTGGTCTATAAAAAAATAATCTGCAACAATTTTCACAATGAATTAATTGTTGAAGTAATTAAAGCAAAATTACTTTCTCATTCTAGATTCTAGCTGTTTTTCTTTATTGTCAACAATAGTAAGGTCAGTATCTTTGAGTTTTGGACTGTACAAACAGTGTTGGAATATATGAACTTCAAGAGTTTCCTGCCTTGAGTTCATGGACTCAAGTTGGACTGAAGCCACCACCAAAATATCACTTTATCTATCATATCCGTCACTAACAAAAGACTGTCATCTACATGACGACATTGTTGCTGGAGTTGTATCACAGGAATGAAAATACCTGCAGCGCACTGTAATCTAAAACGTGAGAATAATTCATCAGATGTCATTCACCAGAGGACGAGATAAAACAAGGCTTATAGCAAGTTTCACCGTGTACAAAACAGAGTATTAAAGAGTCAAGTCTGCAGAAAGTTAAACAAACCCAGAGTCCCTTAAGAAACCAAAAACATGATAAGAAGTAAAACCGATAACAAACAGAAACTCATACAGTAAATCCCCAGTGCTTTAATTATAAATAGTACATGTTAGAAGAGGAAGCCAAGAATAATAAACCGGTCTTTTTCCCGTGTTGTAACATAACCAAAGCCTGAGGGTGAACGAGTGAATTCTGATAACTGCACATACAGAAGTGCCTCGAGCAGTTTATGAAAATGAGACAATAAAACCACAGTGGAGTTAAAAGTCTTATTTCCATGATGGTGTTCTGCGTTAATGTGGAATGTGAGGGTGAGGTGAGGGCGGCAGCTGACATTACTCCACCAGGCGTGATCAACATGTCACTGCTCTCAGTCGTGTTTTTGCAGAACTGAAACCACGGGACGGACCACGGTTGGTTTCCATGTTTCCATACGGTGGGTTTTAGCTGTGTGTAGTTTTGCAACTGTGTGGGAGAGCGCTCTGCAGCTGCGCGAGTCACTTAAATGTCGGCTACAGACGGTGGCGGTTGAAGTGAAATGCTTGAATTCTGACCTCCAGTCTGTTACCATCGTGATGCAAACTCCCACTCATGACAAACACCCCCCACACACACACACACACACACACACACACACACACACACACACACACACACACACAAACACAAATCATGATGACTTTGGGTGTCTTCATTTGCAGGAGCTTGTGTTAAATGTCATTCTTACTCCTCAAGGAAATCCCTTCACATTTGGCACAAACGCTCAAGGATGAACTGATTATGTTTTTTTGGTCAAAGGTCAAAGGTCAAGGACATGGTTTTGGCCTCGTGAACGCGATATCTCAGTAAAGCCTTGAGGGAATTTCTTAAAATTTGGCATGTATGTCCACTTGGACACGAGGACAAACTGATTAGATCAGAGGTCAAAGGTCAGTGTGACCGCACTAAACATTTTTTAGTCATTACTCAAGACTTCACACAAATGGTTCATATTTTGTGATTCTGGATAAACAGGAATGGCAGACAACCGCAAGGCTGTAATTCTAGTTTACTGATCAAATGAAGATCATTGATCTGATCTAATTGATCACTGACACAGCAGCTTTTAGGCTGTACTACACCTTTACCAAAACCCACCTGCTAAATGTTGCTAAAATGAGTAACATGAAGAAAAACAATTTTTTTGTGGCCAAAACAAAGAGATTCTGAGCTGAAATGTTTTAATTATTATTAATTGCAGTGAATTTTAATTATATTGCCTTATTATTAATTTTTAATTTGGTGCTCCTGATAACATTTTAATGCTCAGTGAATAAAAAAAAAGCAAAGAATCAGCCATCAACATCTCCAGTCTCTCACATGTGAACCACAGACAAACAGTCTCCACGCTGTTCGTTCTAGTTGCTGTAGTTACAGACAGAAGCAGAAACCCTGGGGGCTGTGGGAGCGTCCTGTTTGGAAGAAGAACCTCCTCACCCTCCAGGTTCTCACATTTTAATTTCAGTTACCTTGTTGATGGCGTCTGTGATCACTCTGAATTGCCTTATTGATGACGGATGCTGTAGAATAACTTGCCCTCACAGAGCAGTTGTCTCAAAATCCTCCACATACTGTCAGGTCAGTATTTATTTATATAACCCAAGATCAACAATGGCAAATTTGCCCGGAAGGGACTTTAACAATCTGTACAGCATTATGACACACTCTGTACTGAAACCCTTGAAAAGGCTCTAAGGATTCAGCCAGAGACGCCAAATTGTTTTTCCAGTCAGTCTTGGAGTAGACGATGATCTATGGTATCAACAGCTGCACTGGGATCAAGTGAAAGAGAAGCACAGACGTGGAATCTGAATCCCTAGAAAGCAGAAGAACATTTACGACTCTCGTAAATGCAGTTTCGGTGAAGGTCTCATGTGGGCTGGAAGCTGCAGAGCCACAGCTCTGTCCCGTACGTGTGAGCCGTAAAGGTCGAGCAGCTGCGAGTTTGGCCACAGTGGCAAAATGAAATCTGTTGTTTCTGATTAACGTAGAGAAATAAGCTGCTCTGCTCTGTGCAGAGAGAGTGCGGTTGTGTTTCAGTTCACACTCGTTCCACTGGAGGTAGAAGCCTCAGTAAACAAGGCTGCAGACCCAGAGTCTAAACAGAGCTGTGTTTAACTCACTGATACAGTTTACAACGGGGGAGGAGAGTCTCGGAGAAACCGCTATGCTACGAGACAGAATCAGGTCCAGGGTGTCACCGCTGCAGAAACTCTCACAAACTGGGTGAAACTAAAAGTATCATTAAAGGTTTCACTCACCAGGTGAGTCCTGAAGTCACCTGTAATTAGAGTCTCATCAGACTGAGATACAGTCATCTAAAGCTGAGTAAAGTCCAGGTGGTCTGTAGAGAGAGAGAGGGAGAGAGAGAGAGAGAGAGAGACATTCAGGTGGGTGGAGATGGTTTTAACAGTTTAGCAACAAGTTTGGGGGGAAAATTGAAAACAGACTTAAAGTTTAAGGCCACCTCGTTCAGTGCTGTGTGTGTGTGTGTGTGTGTGTGTGTGTGTGTGTGTGTGTGTGAATGTGAATAAATATGCCAAAGTGAAAGGTGGTGGGAGAGATCAGAGAAGAAGAAGCCTATCAAAACAACCGACATCCTCCCTCCTCCCCCTCCCCCTCCTCCGTTTACTTTCCCTGAAGGCGCCTCCTGACGGTGTCCCAGTCCGCTCAGCATGTAGTGTCAGCGGGGTCGCACTTGTGTACAAGGAGACATATATGGAGCATTAGGAGCAGAGACTGACCGGTCGTGTTTTTTCCAGCTCCACTGTTTTTGCGCGCAGCGGACCGGAGAGATGGAAGAGGTGCGCCCGGAGCAGAGCGCTCCTCCGCGGCTCTGCCGCCTCCTCCTCATCCTCTCGCTACTGCTGAGCTTCTCCGTGTCCAGCTCGGCCGCCTGGGACCTGGTCCTCCTCCACACCAACGACGTGCACGCCCGGGTGGAAGAGACCACCAAACATTCCGGGAAATGCGTCAAGAGCAGCCAGTGCTTCGCCGGCGTGGCACGAAGAGCCACGATGATCAAGAGGATCCGCAGCTCCGAGAGCAACGTGCTGCTGCTGGACGCCGGGGACCAGTTCCAGGGGACCGTCTGGTTCAATTACTACAAGGGCGCCGAGGCTGCGCACTTCATGAACAAACTGAGATATGATGCCATGGTAAGAAACACAGAGCTGTGTAAGAACTGCAGTTTGCTCAGGTTTATGTTTCATTTGAGACTAAAGGAGGTTAGAAACATTAGTCTGCTGATCTGAATGTGCACACAATGGAAAAGTGTCAGGATTTCATTGTGTAATGTTTTATTGTAAGTTTATTAAGAGATAGATAGATCTTTCTATTTATTTATAGATAGATAGATAGAAGTTGCTTTATTAATTTCCTCTAACCATAACATCATTTTAAAGGTTCCATATTTTCTTCTTCTGTGTTTTATTTGAAGCGTTGATCCATAAGAAGATATATTTGTGGTTTTAAGAACCAAAAACCATCTCAGTGTAGTTTTACATCTCCTCTCTCAGGCTTCTCTCTGGAGATCTAGTAACAACAGGTCAGTGAGCCAATCAGAAGACACGAGGCTCTGATCCTCTCTTCTGATTGGCTGACTGGTTTCTGAGTGATGGAACAAAAATAAAGCAGATTTCAGGTAAAAACACTCAGAGAAACCAAATCCTGCAAGGTTTGGATGGTGGGTCCAGGTGGGCGGGGCTTGATGACTGCTTGCTACAGGCTGTGTGTTTCTCTGTGGCCTGAGGCTTTGATACTTTCACAGTATTAATATAGAACCTGGACCTGATCGAGCCTGGCTGATAGTGCAGCTCACTGTTAATCATCAGAGACATGTTTCTATAGAAACGGTGATGATGAGTTAACAAACACAACAACAACAACCATGAGATAAAGAACAGAAAGGTCCCTGTTGATAGCCAAGGAATCAGACTGGACTCTGGAAAAGGCTGGAGTTGATTAATTGGTTTGGGTCCAAAGGTCTCAGACGGTTTTAATTAGCTTAATAGCAGTGACTCAAAAACAAGTGTTTTAGTGGATGGGCTCTGCTCGCTGTGGCTTTTCATCTTCCAGCCAGAATTACAGTGATTATAGTGACTGTGTGGAATGGAGATGGGGAGCAGACTCTTCTGTATGTGGAGAACATGACTCCTGTACAATGACTAAGTAAAGGAACCCTGTGATGTTTGTCCACCACATATAAGTGGGTCCCTGTTTTCTTGGTGCTTAGATACAAGCCCTCTTCAGCAGAACTGATCCACTGACCAGACGGTGCAGCGAAGGTCCTAATGTTGTTGTGTAGAGCTGTTTTTATTGAAGAATAGCACTTAAAATGCAGCAGTAACTTCACACAGCTCTGGTAACACTGGCAGTCACCAGTAAACCAAAGCTGAACGCTGAAGTAAGAGCAGGAACGTGGGAGTGAAACAACTTGAAACCACAGAGGTTCAGTTAGTTATAAATGTACAGAGAGCTGAGTGTGTGTCAGCCTGTAAGATTTACCATGACACAGTTCAGGTCATATCTTTAGCCATGTAGCCTGGTGATGTATTAGCTTGGAGAAACTTAAACAAAGAGCTCCGTTGCACTATGAGGAGTTAATGGACCATTTCGCCTTTACACAGAAGTTAGCTTCAATTTTCCGGACCATCTGTTGCCTGCTGGCTGAGCGCACCTCATTTTCATTCTTTTACTGGGTGGCACTGGTCCATCTGTCCCTCCACATGTGATTCTTGGCTCCATGCAGCATGGTGCGATTTATGTGGAGAAAAAACATAAAACATCTGCAGCAGGTGGAGGGTCAAGGACAAACTGGGACTTTTAAAGCTCCTCCAGTGTAAAGGTCTGTGTCCATGTGTAGTGTGATTATAGATCAGCTCTAGCTTCTATATTAATACTGTGAAAGTATCAAAGCCTCAGTCCACAGAGAAATGCACACAGCCTGTATTCAGAAACTGAGCCTTAAAACCAGCCGTCAGGACTTCTGGAACTTTGTGATGTCACAACAAAGCAGTCACCAAGCCCCGCCCACATGGACCCACCATCCAAACCTTGCAGGATTTGGTTTCTCTGAGTGTTTTTACCTGAAATCTGCTATATTTTTATTGGCTCACTCAGAAAACAGTGAGCCAATCAGAAGAGAGGCTCAGAGCCTCCTCTCTTCTGATTGGCTCACCGACCTGTTGTTACTAGAGCTCCAGAGAGAAGCCTGAGAGAGGAGATGTAAAACTACTAATACATCTTCTAATGGATCAACACTTCTTCAAATAAAACACAGGAAACTGTAAAACATGGAGCTTTAAATCTTTAAACGTCCATATTCAGTAAAGAAGCTGAATGTCTCTTCCTGCAGCCGAGTTCTTTGTTTGACATTTCTTTGTGTTTTTCAGGCTTTTGGGAATCACGAGTTCGACAACGGAGTGAAAGGACTCATGAAACCGTTCATGGAGAAGATCAAGTGTACCGTTCTCAGTGCTAACATCAAACCAGACGAAACTCTGGCCGTGACGTTTGGAAGCTCTTACCAACCTTATAAGATACTTACAGTGGGTGATCAGAAGGTCGGCGTGGTGGGATACACGTCCCGCGAAACGCCCGCTCTGTCCGCACCGGGTGAGTGGAAGTGGCTGTTTAATGTCTTCATGTTTCTGTCTGTGACTTTTCTGTTTGCTTCTCACATTGTTTACATCCTCAACCGAAGGCATCCACACTGTAAACATCATGATATACACTCTCTCCCCTACATCTGTGTAACATCTGTACACCGTCGTCCTCTTGCCTGCCTCTCGTCAGCGAAGTTTAAAGAAAATACACATTGCATACAAGGTTGTAGTGAAAAGTAAAACAAAGTAAAAGAAGATTCCTCCCTGAAAAGTCAGAGAAAAACAGTCAGAGGCAAGAAGAGTCCAAAACAGAAACATCTTATGTTGGCGAGATGTAAAAATGTAAATGTACGTTTGCAACAGTTAAAACTATGAAGTCTGTCTCATTTTTTGCTTTTAATATTCAGTAATATGAAGTTAAATCCAGCCATTATCATGCTGTCTTCCTGCTGAGGAAACGTCGGGCAGCACTTTGTGACTCTGATTTTACAACTAAATTGTTCGTCTGGCCACAGAACAGGATGAAAATAGTCACAAAGGTGTTCTGACACTCAGAGGATGTGATTAACAGGTCGCGGCAAAGGTGACAAAACAATGGCTTCTTAACAATTGGTGGAAACGATAAAAAATATCAACACCAGGAGGAAGTCCGTGTTAGTGAAGCGAGTCCATTGGCTGAGAGATGAAGTCAGAGGTATTTTTACACCAACGCACAAAAGCTGATTCGAGGATTTGTGAGAAAAATACTTACTATAATAATATTATTCTATTTACTTATTGTGTCATGTCTTAATTACATTCCTAAAAAGTCCTTAAACTACTAAACTCCAGAACTTTTCCATTGTTATGAAAAGCAAAGATGTGCTTTCTTGTTATTGATCAGACTGAATTCAGAATGAGTTGAAAATCCAACGTCTCTTTCACCACATCAATGTTTTACCTTGATTGTGTTTGATAATGTTTCACTTTTATTAAACTGAAATAACAATTTGAAGCTGTGGACAAAAAATTTAAACTCATTAAGAGTCAGTTAATTTAATGAACAAATATAGAAATGTATGAGCTTTTTGGTTGAGCATAATAAGCTTTAGCTTCAGGCTGCAGTCTATAGAAAAGCCTCATGCTGTTTTATTTAGTTTTCTATCAGATTTTCTACAAACATTTGTGCAAGTTTAAAAGATATATTTTTGTACTAACAGTGTTTCCGTACCTGCTGCTCCACAGGACCACACCTGCAGTTCGAGGACGAGGTGAAGGCCCTGCAGCCGCATGTGGACAAACTCCAGACGCTGGGAGTCAATAAGATCATCGCTCTGGGTCACTCTGGTTTCACCTTGGACAAGGAGATCGCCGAGAAGGTCCGCGGCGTCGACGTCGTCATCGGCGGACACACCAACACTTTCCTCTATACAGGTGAGCAGGTGAATTCTCTTGCACCACATTCAGGATGAACCTTTTTTTTTTGTGCCTCATTAGTGGTAAAGAGCAAGAAATAGATTTATCCCCTGATTTCAACATCTATGGTTCTTTAATGAGCATCGCAGCCTGGAGTCTTCATCCTCCAGAGCGTCGTATTCCAGAGTAAACATGCTGCAGACACGAGCCTGGTCTCCATAAATAGCTCTGTGCTGTTACATGTTTAGAGTAGCGAACAGTCGCTGCAGGAAGTGAGCTGCTGGTTTTGACCTCAGGCCACAGAAATGGCAGGAAAATGAAATGTTTTCCTTAAGACGGGATCAGGCGTTGTGTAAATCTGAGTGACTGGGAGCAAGTCAGGTTGGCACTTGTTTGGACGTTGGAGAGGAAGAGTCATTGAATCTGACAGTGATGCATTCAAGACCTCATGTGAAGGGGAAATTTTAGTTAAACTTGATCTGGGTTTATCACTTAATTCATCCATCCACTCCTGTCAGTGAGTCAGGGAAACCCTCTGAGGCTCACTGCACACTTCTCACACTGGATTTTACAAACTTGAAAATGATTCCTGGCGTGTTGCCATGTTTCTTCCTTTTTTTTCCATCATGATCTTCAGAATTTCCACTTGGTTTTTTTCAATGTACAAATTGAAAATGTGCAGAAAAACCCACCAAGTATTTTTCACATTTCCTGCTCCTGACCCACGTTGGTGATGTAAACCTGCACTACACTTTACCTTTGGCTGCACGTCTCCCTCATGAGCCTGAAGGTTTGTTTAGCATTGATAATGAAGTTTACATATTAAGCTATTTCCCTCCCTTGAGATTATTCCAGTTTATTTCATTGTTGTGTTTCCACCAAAGTCCCAGAGAACTGAGAAAGCCGCCGGCTGCTGTTGATTAGCTCTTCCTTCAAAAACTTGTAGGAAACAACTTCTGCGCTTCTGTTCCACAAGTCTGCAGGGTGTCGTCTCTGCACATGAGATCTCAGATTTCAATTGCAGGTGTTAGTCATCAGCGAACTTAATGCATGACCACAGGGGTTAATGATGTGTGTTACTTAACCTTGAAGTCATGGCAACAAACCTTTGTTTCATGATTCAGTGACTCTGCAAAGAACTTGACGAGAAGTAAACGACAACAAAAAAAAGAACAACATCTGCTATAAGCTTCTGTACAGCTGCTGTGTGTCTCATCAGGCAGGAGAGGTTTATTAGTGATTAGCGAAGCAGTTTAAGAGTTGAGCTCCATGAATCAGAGAGGAACCTGATGAGGAATGTGTGTCAAGTGAATGTGTCAAGAAACAGTTTGTTTCCATGAAGTCAGTGAGTCAGTGCCGTAGAGGAGTTCACTACATGTTGGAACGAATCTCTGATGCCTCCTGAAACTGAACCGACCTGTTACAGCTGTAGGATAGTGGGAAAAAAAAGTGACGCTGCAATATTTTTGTTCTGCGATATATTTTATTCCATGTTCCTGGTCAACATCATCCTTTTCTCCAGCAACGAAATAATTCAACACAACCAACGTTGATTTTCTTTTTTCCTACAAATCTTCCTTTTCTGTGTTTCTCCTCTTCCTCACTCGTTTTGAGGTTGTGGTCGACGGCTAGCAGGGGGCGGGGCCTGCTTCGGTCGTTTGATGAACCGTGTTTCACTGTGCGCGTCCCTCACTAGCAACAAACTGTGTGTATCTAAACCCTTAAACCTGATGATGACTGTGACAGACAGTGTGTATGGCAGAGATAATGACACTGGACAGTGTGGGTCATACTGAATCAAATGGCAGATTTGACTGAGTCATATCTCCAAGAAGATGCGCCATTTTTGATGCAAATTAGGCGCCATATCAGCCACCAAACTTACAGTGACTTCCTGTTGATAGAGGACACCTGCGTGCACCTGCCCCTCCTCTGCGGTATCTTCCCTCTTTCCTGCACAATTAAACGCTGTCCATCAATAGAAAAATTAATCAATGACAAATTTCAGAATAGTTTTAAATAGTTTAAACTTTCTCTGGTTCCAGATTTTTCTAGAAAAATACTCAGCTAATCTGTAATGAACAAACCTACCTAAACCTCCACACTCCATTTTTCAGGAACACCTCCGTCCTCTGAAGTCCCTGCGGGTCCGTATCCCTTCATGGTGAAATCGGAAGACGGGCGGCAGGTTCCTGTCGTGCAGGCCTACGCTTTTGGAAAATATCTGGGTTATCTGAAGGTGACCTTTGACAACAATGGACATGTAGTGAAGTCCACAGGAAACCCCATCCTGCTGAACAGCAGCATCCCTCAGGGTAAAGGGAAATGTTTTTATAAAACTCTTTTATAACGGCTTTTGTCACTTAGGTGTAAATATTCTGCACTTGCTCTTGAGAAATCTTAAAAACACTCATTTTATTCTAATGTTAAAAAAGCCTTTAAAGGTATGTTGTTTTTGTCCAGAAATGTTTGTGCAACAAAAGGTAGAAAGTGGAAAACCAGGCATTTACTGTATTTACATTAAAACATGTTATTACCTGCACTCCCTCTCAAACTGGATCGTGTCTGCTCCAGATCCGGAGGTTCTTGCTGATGTGGAGGAATGGAAGAAGAATCTGGCGAACTACTCGGCCCAGGTCGTGGGAAAAACTCAGGTCTTCCTGAAAGGTGATGCCGAGTGTCGTTTCCGGGAATGCAACCTGGGAAATCTGATCTGTGACGCCATGGTAGGTGATAAAGATCGTTAAAAGAAGAGAGTGTCACGCTGATGATCTGTGAAGGGACAGATGGGAAGTTTATGGCTTGGTGTTAAACCAAACTTGTAATAAAATAAATTACTTCAAATGAGTCCATCAGAACACATAAAACACTCCTGTCTCCGTTCTCCAGGTCGCCAACAACATCAGATTCTCCGACGAGGTCCAGTGGAACCACGTCAGCGCCAGCATCTTCAACGGAGGAGGCGTCCGCGCATCCATTGATGAACGCACCAGGAACGGTGTGTGTGTGTGTGTGTGTGTGTGTGTGTGTGTGTGTGTGTGTGTGTGTGTCCAATGAAAACACAGCAGTAATTTACTGTCAGAGCCGGAGCATGTCTGGAAAAAGATTCAGTCCTCACACACAGTTCGAAGTCTGTTGAACTTAATATGCCGATGTGTCGTCCGTAGGCTCGATCACCATGGAGGACCTGATCTCCGTCTTACCCTTCGGAGGAACCTTCGACCTGGTGCAGCTGAAAGGCTCCACACTGAGGAAAGCCTTTGAACACTCAGTGAAACGATACGGCGGGAGCACCGGAGAATTCCTACAAGTGTCCGGTACCTGGGTTTTCAATACGTTCCCAACGCCCAGATACAAACTCACACAACAGTCCTGTGAGTGAAGGTTGTAATGTTCTGACGTTTCCTCCAACAGGACTTCATGTAGAGTTCGACTTGTCCAAACCTCCGGGACATCGCGTGAAGAGTCTCAGCATCCTCTGCGTCGATTGTCGTGTCCCCGACTACGAGCCCGTCGAGGATGAGAAGGTTTACAAAGTGGTGCTGCCGTCCTACCTGATGACCGGTGGAGACGGATTCTCCATGATCAAAAACGAGACGCTCAAACACAACAGCGGTGAGACTTCAGGATATACACGGGATTTTGTTTGAGGTGTCGAGATCTCCCGCTTTTATTTTAACCTGCCTCCTAACGTTTCTTTTCCCTCCAGGCGATCTGGACATCACCGTTGTGTCCAACTACATCGTACAAAGAAAGGAAGTTTATCCGTCTGTTGAAGGACGCATCAAGATCCTCAACTCAGCTCCCGGACGGCAGGGACAGACCGCTTCGCTGGTTTTACTGTCACTGGCGCTGATCTGGGCTCTGTGTGGGAACATGTACGACTGAATCCACCCGGAAAACACAGAAGAGTCTTTACTGTTTTTATAAACTACATGTGAAGATGAAGCAGTACCAGCTCTGATGGATGTGACTGACAAAAATATCTGACCTTTTATTATCATTTTAAAACAGAAGGGAAACTCCAGCAGCCAGAAGTTTTAAAAACTCTTCCTGAAATCTGTTTTGACCAAGTTTAGACAAAACTTTTAAACTTTTTTTTCCGTTAGTTTTAAGCTAACGGCGACTAAAGCTGCAGCTCCACTAATAACCACTAAGACCTGTTCTGAGCTCAGCGGATTTCTCTCGCACTTTTTCCAACTTTTCATGTGTTTTTTGTTTTTTGTTTTTCTTGGTGTCGATTTTGGAAAAAGTTAATTCATGAAAGTTTTATGGTCTAAAAAGATAAAATGCTCGTCTCAGTCAGTGTTGCAGGACTAGAGTCCAGGACTCAGACTCGAACACTAAAACCCTGACTGAGACGCGGTACTCAGGACTTGCCTTGGACTGGAGCACTGACTGTGTTCAGACTCAGAAGTTGGAGACTCAGACTCTTTGTTAGTTTTTTGTAAGAGGCCGTAATAACTCAAAGTAAATAAACCTCCTTTGAAACAGTAACAGTTGTCATTTGTGTCTGAACACTTGGGACTCAAGACTCGACTCTGGTAGTAGTTTTAGCAGGATACTGAAGGTTTAAAGAAATCTCAGCAGCTGACCAGGTAATGTTGATCCTCTTAGATAAAGTTTTCTGATTCTTCTGTGCGATCAGGAGGTAAAAAATAATTCTCAGTCTCACCAGAAAGTTTTTTTTTTTTAGCCAATGAAGAATTTTTCTGCAAAAAAACAACAAAGGAAACAGAAAATGAAAGAAATAAAGTTGCTCTTGCAAAGATGAGAAGTGCTATTATGTCACTGTATTTATGAGCACCACTGCAGCGTTTCACTGATAAAACTTATGTGAAATATTAAACTTTTTTTATTTGGTGTTTCCTGCTACAACGTTCAGACAGTTGTGATTTGTAAGTCACAGCTTTTACCCCCTAAACGCTCATTCAGGTCAAGTCAGCTCGTTGTGTCCCAGCACCAGCAGCAACCAGTGACAGGATTGGGAGTTTTAATGCCTCATCCAGCAGCTTCAAGCTCTATTTAAGTATTTTTTATATGTCTGTGGTATTTTGAAACCCTTTTGTCGAGGCTAGTTCCTCATCAGCCGCTTGAATGTTTTTTTCCGACAGTTGTTTTTTTTTGCCGTTTCATTCAGGTTTGGTTACTAAGTCTGAATTTGGCAGAAACACAGGAAGTATTTGACAAACACCTTCAAACTGTCCCAGCTCATACTGGAAGTGAAACATGAGTTCACTCCAGCAGCGTCCAGCAGACTCTCTCTCTCTCTCTCTCTCTCTCTCTCTCCTCCGTCTGTGGCATCCACAGAGTCTTTACCCCTCGGTGAAACCCCCGTGTCGAGTGAACAAGGCCTCCTCTGTGAGAGGGATCTCCCCAACAATGTCTGCAGCGTGTTAATGCTCCGGAACTCCTTATTTAGTCGCTTCAGTGAGCCACAGCGCAGCTGGCAGCGGCCGGCACCACCATCAGCTGCCAACTGCATGAGAACGGCCACATTATCACTGACTGGAAACTGTTCTCGCTCCGCTCTCAGGGCTTCTGAGAAGAGATGAGGACACAGAGTTGGTCGCCGTCACATGTGGAAATCAGGCTGAGTCAGGACACAATTTTTAATTTTTTTAGTTTTTTTACAGACTTGTTTTATATTGAATTATAAGTTTAACCACAGTTTTATCCTGAGTTTAAAATAATAGGTTTGGTAATAAATCTCTCACTAACAGAAACTGTCTCTCTAACTCTAAATACTATACTCTCATACAAGGGAGAGGCCTGGCCTGGAGTTTGGCTGAATATTATGAGAAATGAGTTGAAGAGTCTTTCCCAGAAACAACTTCTCTGTTGCTCTGGACCTCACTGCTCTCACTGTAATATGTTCTACCGCAGAAATAGTTCTTATGAAAACTGTTGGCAGTGGGTTCTGTTAATGGACAGAACAAACTGTACAGATCAAATAACACAGAGCTCACAGTGGACCACATCCTCAGTATAGTTGGAAGCAAGTAGCTGATTTGATTCTATTCCTTCAGTTTAAAGAGTCATTGCCATTCACTGTGTAGTTGGTTTGTTTTTTTTCCTAAGCCAAGTGAATGCATCACCACTCAGATATGTCAGTAAGTAAATGTTATTTTTATTTTTGAACAGATGAATCAGCTTTAGAGTTTCCACTGGGTAAAAAAAAGACTTTGTTCCTTAACAGATTCTGTGAAGTCAGTTTTCTTGATGCAGATGTTTCGGGATCATTTAAGGAAGCTGACATATTCCTTTGTTGATCACTCTTGTTTTGGTTTGTTTTACAGCTTTTCCACTGATACAGTTTCTAACAACTTGAAGCTTCAAAACTGAAAGGTAAGATGTTAACGGTGGTGGAGGAAGTACCAACACTACAGGTTCAAATACACCATTACAAGTGTGTGAAACTTCTCGTTCAGCAGTAAAATATCCTTCCTCCAACAGTCGAAAGACATGCCCCCTGGGTTTATTGGCAACTCTAACTTTTTATGACTTACTATACTATGATGTTGTTTTTTTATTATTATTATTATTATTATTATTATTATTATTTTTATGCTTAACTATACAATGACGTCTTTATGCTTTACTATCAGTGACGTTTTTATTACTTTTTATGCCTCACTATACTGTGTCATTTTATGCCTTTCTTTGCCTTCTTATACTATGATTTATGTGATAGCTTTTCTAAGTAATGTGTTAATATTTTCATTGGCTCTGAAAGAAAACACAGGAGACAGCGTTCACTGCGATGGCATCAATAAATATATATCTTTATTTGTGCATTAATAAACATTTGAGATGTTCACAGAAGTGTTGGAAATTGTGGAGTATTGCACGTCCATCATCCAGGATGGGGATGTAGTGTTGACTTCACATGAAGGTCGTCTCCTTCGCTCCCTGCTGAAAAACATCATATTATGCCTTACTATACTATGAAGTTTTTTAAAACCTTTTTATGCCTTACTATACTATGACGTTTTTATACCTTTTTATGCCTTAATATACTATGATCTTTTTTGGACTTTTTTTATGCCTAACTATACTATGACATTTTTTAAAACTTTTTTATGCCTTACTATACTATGATCTTTTTTGGACTTTTTTTATGCCTTACTATACTATGACGTTTTTTTGACTTTTTATGTCTTACTATACTATGACTTTTTTATTTCTTTTTTTATGCTTACTTATACTATGACTTTTTAAAAACTTTTTTATGCCTTACTATACTATGACGTTTTTTTGACTTTTTATGTCTTACTATACTATGACTTTTTAAAAACTTTTTTATGCCTTACTATACTATGACCTTTTTTTTACTTTTTATGCCTTACTATACTATGACGTTTTTTTGACTTTTTATGCCTTACTATACTATACTATGACCTTTTTTTTTACTTTTTTATGCCTTACTATACTATGACTTTTTTATGCCTTACTATACTATTACTTTTTAAAAACTTTTTTATGCCTTACTATACTATGACTTTTTTATGCCTTACTATACTATTACTTTTTAAAAACTTTTTTATGCCTTACTATACTTTGACATTTTTTTGACTTTTTTGTGCCTTACTATACTATGAAGTTTTTATGACTTTTTATGCCTTACTATACTATGACGTTTTTAAAACTTTTTTATGCCTTACTATACTTTGACATTTTTTTTTACTTTTTTGTGCCTTACTATACTATGAAGTTTTTATGACTTTTTATGCCTTACTATACTATGACGTTTTTTTGCCTTTTTATGCCTTACTATACTATGACGTTTTTAAAACTTTTTTATGCCTTACTATACTTTGACATTTTTTTTTACTTTTTTGTGCCTTACTATACTATGAAGTTTTTATGACTTTTTATGCCTTACTATACTATGACGTTTTTTTGCCTTTTTATGCCTTACTATACTATGACTTT